ATACATGTTACACTTGCATATTTCTTTTTCCATTCATTGATTTGCCCACTTTCGAATATATACTATTTCTCTGCCTCCTTCCTCCTAACGACATAGGGAATACCTATAAACAGCCAACAACTTTTTGGTGTCACAGTACCTGCAACTTCAAACCGAAAAAAGGGAAGGATCGAACAATGCCAGAAATAATTTAATAATATTTCATACAGAAACTTCGTGGGTTGGTCAACAGCGGTTAGTTTATTTGCTGCTTTGCATGGTTCCTAAAGCAATGGTGTAGCGTGATGCGCCAAGGAGGAAAAATGACCTGATATTCTCCAGTGCTATGAACCACTTCTTGACGGTGAGCCAAAGTAGAGAACAAACATTCTCCACATCTACAACGCAGGATTCCCAGCTCTTGAACTGAATAAATTAATGTTGAAGTTCATTCACTAATGGCATAGATCAAACTGGATTTCATTCAGCTGAAACGTCTGTTGAAATTGTACTCAACCGAGCAATGATCACTTTCACTCTACTTCTGTGCATTTTTTTCTAAAATAATCTTACCAGCCGGTCAATTAATTAATTAATTACATCGTTCGCAAATTTTCGGCTAACGCCGACCAGCGAAAACCTCAGCAGGCGTTTGTGGCCGAGGTAGTCTTCAGACGCCAGATGTCCGGAGTGCCAGCTCCTCGCTGCAGTGAGGAAGGTTTTTCATTGAAGAAGCAGATTTCAGCTCGAACCCGAAACCTGCTCACTCTTTTAGCCGAGTCAAGTTCATCGACTTCTCGTTGCCGCTCCTTTTCGAAAAACGAAACGTGTCTATTAACGATCGGTAATATATCGTTGAACAGAAAAACAGTCATGAAGATGGCTGTGTTTTGCCACGTTTCGAAACTATGTTTTTGTAGCATAGTTTTTACTGTCCGTTAACTATGTTGTTTAGCTTTCGTAAGAGAATCAGAAAGCACAGCATTTTGTACTGCAGTTCACTGGATGTAGCGTAGCTTAGGCAGTTCGATTTTCAGGAAAGGGAGGACGGTTACTTTCGAAGTAGGCATCAGGCTACACGCCGCACGGTAATGGCCTTCTGGCCGCAGACGTTGTTCTTCAAGAACAATGTAACTGACAACCATGTTGCAATCTGGATCAGCGCCACTTCATACGGTCCAACTGACTCATTTGAGGTTACTCAGTCGGCAGACTTCAGACTCATAATCCAGAGACCCCGGATTCGAATCGCGGTCAGACCATTTGCCTTTTCGTCTTTCCAAAGTAAATGGACAAGTAACATTATACGGCCACGGAAACCAGTGGCTACATACCACACGTTTCACATAGACCCTACTCTTATAAGAGAGGTTTCTCCCTGATGGCATAGAGAAAAGTCAGCACAGGGCCACGAGATCCATGAAAAGTAAGGTTTTACAAAAGTGTCCATCATGGAAACGTGAAAGACTGGCATTCCAATGGCTGCAAACATTTTTTTTTCATTCCATTTTACATGCGATCATTATAAACAGTACCTTCGGCTAGCATGAAGGATGCCAATGTCTTAAAGATTACAAACATTCGTTTGTTACTTTCCAGAACACTAATACATTTATAATATTGTTGTCGATGGTTGTCAACTATTTATGAAGAACATTATAGCTGGCACCATAATTCAAATGAAAAAGACCTTACATTTACATATTATTAGACATGTTGCTGAGAATCCATTGCTTGTGAGCTGTACCTGCACCACTTCCTAATTTATGATGCAGATTCCATTTGTTCGGTTTGGATACGTGGCGGGATGACAGAAGAAATGTTCGCAAGGTTACTTTTTCTGACATTTCGGAATTATAGTCGCATGACAGAGGGAAATGGAGTAGACCGATGGCTAGGTGATCTAAACAACTTGTGGACAGCACCAGAATCCAGCTCACTGATGGAGAAACAAAAAAACACTTCATTACGCAGTTATCCTTCTACAACCTACATGAAATGCGCCTTGAAAATGGAATTACCCTCCTTTAGAGGCACGTAGCTTCGCCGAGGAAAATGCGACAGTCCACCAAGCGCTTTTTTGGCATCATGGTGTATAAAACAGACTCGAATTAAATCAGAGAAGCCAATCGGTCATTAGTGTGCAGGCCATTTCTCTACTTCGACAAATAGTTCATTTTAAATGTCTCCTTTTACTTTCCGGTGATGGATGCAGCTGCTGTATGAACCTCATGCCATGGCTTCGGTTCTCTGCCGATTGGGTGCAGCTTCACAACATGCGTTTGAGGCGCGAAATTTAAAATAGAACCCCTGGTACGCGCTGTGCTGCTTTGCTGTCTAGCCTACTGCGTTACAAAGACAATCAGCCTGACGAGTATCTCTTGTGACATCCAGCTAATCATTATCCATTAACTTATAGGAGTGCTGAGTTTCAACTTTTGAATTATACGCCCATTCTGCAGAACAGCCTTCAACACACCAACACATGGGGGGAGGGAGGGTAGCAGATTTTATTTCGATGTCTAACTTAAATTATGCATCATTAGCTTCACGAAGCTGACAAATTCCAATTCTCTATTGTGATAGATTGCAAGTTATGAACAGCAATGAAGATGAAGGATCAACCACCATCAGTTAAGCAGAAAGCAAATCCATCAACAGTCGCAAATCCCTCGAAAAAACCAGAAAACTAATGCGCTGGTACTAAAACAACTTCAATCGCGAAGACCGCTAATGCGGAACATACCATGACAGAAGCCACAATATTTTAGTCACTTGATGAGAGAAGCAATGTTGACCTACTACAGAAAATACTCGTCTGGAATTGTAGCAGTCCTGACACTTAGAACCGTCATCAAGAGGAAGAACAACATGAAACTGTCGCGGACTACATCATACGATAGACAAGAGTGAATATCGTTTACATAGAAAAACTTAATGTCTTAGATGTTAGTAAAAGAATAATGAATTTCAATGTCTCCCTTTCGAACAGAGTATGACTGATGATCGACTAATCCAAATTATGATCTTTTTAATGACTTATTTGTTCCTATATATATATATTAGCTTCCTTGGAATGGATGTCAGGGACAGACAGACAAGATGTTTTTCCTGGCCTGACATTTTAACAGCAGCTGGACTATCAGTGGAAACCATGGGGAATCATCTTGTTCTGTTTTATGGCTGGGGGAAGGGCGATATTAGATGATCAGCAACTTAACAATTGAATATCCAGATTTATAAGCCAATTCATGGCCGGTGCGGTGGCATAAGTTGTGCTGCCGTTAAGATTTCTCAGGAGCTATTTAGACATACATTTGCTGCACGATCTGTTCATCGTGGCCGCAGCGTCTTCAACTTCAGACGGCGAATTAGATATACGCTGCGCTCTTGTGCTGACCAAATGCGGCTTAGCCTTGACCAATCTTAGGGAATCAAGTTCTTGACAGGGGTTTTTTGATGGGGTTGAAAAATAGGTCCTTGTTATGAGCGACTGGAGCGCCTTACTCTGCTCGTCGCTGTTACTCGAGATCGGTCGTGGTGTTGTCGCTATTTCACATGAGCGAAGGGGGGGGGTGGGGTTGAGGCCACGTGTCGGAAACCGTTAGAGAAAATAATATGCGTCAGAATCGATAGTTATTTCCTTTGGGTTGTGTTCACAGTTCCCGTTACGATTCGTGTTGCTTCATTTCAGGATGTACCTACTTTCCTCATATGGCAGCTGTAGCTCTGGGCAG